AAATAAACGAATCAGTAATAATGAGATTATATATATATATATATATATATATATATATATATATATATATATATATATATATATATATATATATAAGAATTATCAATAGAAAAGAGAGGACTGTGAATAGTAAGTAAAAAAAGAAAAAGTAATGTTGTTATTCTTGGGGGTTGCAGGGCCTTTGCTGAGATACAAGATAACATGGTTTGAGGAGCATGAACCCGATACACCTTATTATTTAGCTTCACGCTGCGCTGCGCATCCATATGAACGTCACGATGTGTCGAGTAATTTGGTAACCGGAGGGCTACATCTAAAATTCTACTCTACGTCTCTGCGTCGGCTAGCCTAAGTTGGTTTCTTTTCCGGCACTGCTGTTACACAGACCACCACGTTCGCAGCCACGGTAAAGAATCGAATCACGGATCAAGTGGCAATAATGCTATCCGTCCCATGCCTGCTGGTCCTGTCAAACTCTGCTGAACTACAAATTTATCCCTCCGCAACGGTAAGGTTCGGTTATCCGGGCGGGGGCACGGTTCCGGGCATGGCGGCTCTCGCCCCGGCCGTTCACGTATGTGGTGGGACCCGCTCGTGACCTCGAGTGGGTTTCCTTGCTTCGCTCAGACGTCTAAACAGATATCCCCGCCACGTGAATCGCACGCTGCCGACGATGCGCTTGCTATCCTTACAAATACCCAAGTTGACGCCGTTTGATACCAGGATCAATGGCTGTTCATTCCGACTCCGCTGCGGCCAGGCCGAATCGTTGTTGAACTATATTAAATGGTCTGGTTTGGGATCAAAGCGAAACAAAATACATAAACAAAGCACAACCCGTGGAACTGCTCACGTTCGTCCTTCCGCTTCCGCCTCCTTCGTCCTCTCGCCGCCAACGACCGCCACCGCAGCCCTTACGCGGTCGAAGACCCCATCGTAACCCTAACTACGTCGACAAAACCACCGGATCCACGACCCCTGCCGCTGCATAACCAGCCCTCAGACCTTAATTCCTTGATTCCATCCAGAAGAGGCGAAGAAATGGTGCTGATCACCCTGGTTCGCGACTACATAGGGCGGATGCTGCAGGACATCCCTGGCATGAAGGTCCTCATCCTCGATTCTAGCACGGTACGTCTTACTTGGATGCTATCCCCTTCTTGATTGCATCTCTACGGACCCGTGTTCTTTGATAAATCGTTGATCTGGTACTCATCGTTCGGATCTCTGTTTTTGGCGCCGCCCTGGATCCATGATCATGGCGTCACAGCACCTTCGTTTACATCAACTGATTTTGTTTTGTTTTGTTTTGTTTTTTTAATCGACGCAATATCCTGAAATTTGATGTCTGAAAATGGCGGAATTGTTAGGCGAGCTATCTTCTAAAATTTGTCGGATATTGCATAATCGCTCCAATCAAAGTTATTCAGCTTAGAAATTGACAAATAGGGATTCCAGCTCGCTATTGTTAGAGCTTAAGGGTGGCACTGATTCTTAGGATTATTATTAAAAAAAATTGGCAGATCGTATAGCGATCTATATAGACGCTGGTAGTTGGGAAAGCTCTTCTGCTTTCTCCACAAAACTCAGTGTTTTTCCTTGATCTTTTCAGATACGCAGTGTTCAAAAAAGCTTATAGAACATTTTGCTTGTTGTGTCTCCGTTTAAGGGCAAAATTCAGTACCATCTCTTGTGAGAGTTTCATGAGCAACAATCCCAGAAATTTGTTTGTAGTTGAAGTGACTTCAGTTATTCCATGAAATCTGAACATTGTACAGATCACTAGCCATCAGTCATAGCTAAATATGACTGTTTGCATCTGTTTCATATTTTGACCTGATCGGAATTTGGAGCTGTTCTGTCCCCTGTTCTTAGAGAAAAGTGGCACATTGAAATTAATTGCAGGATTTGAGAAGTTGTATTTTTTTTTATAGCAATGTTTCAGAACCACATTTATGGTGCATAACTTGCAGGTCAGCATTGTGAGTGTTGCTTACAGTCAATCGGAACTTCTTAAGAAGGAGGTCTTTTTGGTGGAACTTGTTGATTCCATGTCAAAGGAAACAATGACCCACCTAAAAGCTGTTTACTTTCTTCGCCCAACATCAGAGAATATTCAAAAGTTACGGCGTCAATTGGCTAATCCCCGATTTGGAGAATATCACTTGTGTATGCTTTGTGGACTTTTTAATAAATTTCTTAATTTAAATCTGTGTGCCAAAAGGTTAGTAGCTTTGTCTTTGTGTAGTTTTTTCCAATATCCTGAAGATTACCCAGATTCAAGTACTTGCTGACTCAGATGAACAAGAAGTCGTCCATCAAGTGCAGGTAATTTGCATTTACTTGCCATCAAGTTAATTAAAATTTTGTTCTATTTTTGTTCAAGCTACTTATACCTATAATTTATGCTGAATTCTTTTCCTGTCATAATGGTATTAATTTTGACCTCACAGGAGTTTTTTGCTGACTTTTGTGCTATTGATCCTTACCATTTCACTTTAAACATGCAAATGAATCACATATACATGCTCCCAGCGGTGGTGGACCCTCCAAGTTCACATAGCTTTTGTGATCGAGCAGTTGATGGCATTGCTGCAGTTTTCTTAGCACTTAAACGCCGTCCTGTTATTCGGTATCAACGGGCCTCAGATATTGCCAAAAGGATAGCACAAGAGACTGCTGTGAGTAAATACCATTAGTCATACATTAATTTGCATGATATGGCTTCTTTATTGTCATGGTAGTTTTGCTCTTTTTCCCCAGTGCCTTCTGACGTTAGCTATAATTTAATGTTATCATGTTCACATGGAACTTGTTTTTAACTCCTACTGTTGTCATGCTGCAGAAGCTTATGTACGAGCAGGAAAGTGGTCTGTTTGATTTCAGGCGTACAGAATTCTCCCCGTTGTTGCTTGTGATTGATAGGAGGGATGATCCTGTTACACCGTTACTAAACCAATGGACTTATCAAGTAAATTTGACATAAGTGGAACCCAAGTTTCTGCTACTATCCTTATTATCTAAATTATTAAATCAGAATTCTCTATACACACTTAACAGGCAATGGTACATGAGCTGATTGGAATTGAAGATAATAAAGTAGATCTGAGAAACACTCCAAAAGTTTCCAAAGATCAGCAGGTTGCTGTAATTTTATAACCTATTTTGCTATCATTGATTTGACCTCAATATTTCAAAATCTATTACATGTGCTGTTGGTCTGACACAGGAGGTGGTGCTGTCATCAGAACAAGATAGCTTCTTTAAATCTAACATGTACGAGAATTTTGGAGATCTTGGAATGAATATCAAGACAATGGTGGATGAATTTCAACAAATTACGAATAGTAATCAGAACATCCAAACGATAGGTACTGACCGGGGTTTGCTATTGCTATCTCTAATTAGCATGACAAGTAATAGAGCTTACCAATTGTACTTTTGGACATTTCCTCTTGTAGAGGATATGATGAAATTTGTGAACAACTACCCTGAGTACAGAAAGATGCAAGGAAATGTTTCAAAGCATGTGACAATGGTTACAGAAATGAGCAGAATTGTTGAAGAGAGGAAGCTCATGATAGTTTCACAAACAGAACAAGAGCTTGCATGTAATGGTGGACAAGTGGCAGCTTTTGAGGTATTCCACAAGTCACATATCCATACACTTTTAATACCTTGACGCTATAACTAGTAAGATGGCATCCATATAATTCATCAAGTATATAATTTGGATGATCAACTTTCTGTTCAAAGAAGATAAAAAAAATTGCTTAAGGATATCTTTGTGACATTTTGTATGTGGCGGCAAATTTGTTTGCATAACGTGTTAACATTATACACATAAGAAGTTTTAAGGACTAGAGGTTTCATTAGTTAAAATTTCAGATGTGATGCATTTTTAAGTGATATGCCAACATGTCATCATAGGTCTGGCCAACTCCTAGCCGTATTTAGACATTTTCAATCCTTCATCTCTAAAGTTGTGTACCTAAGCCTATTTGATCCCATCTCTAATTTCGGTTTGTTGTTTTAATTGATATACAAATAATATGCGGAAAAGCGCATTTGCGGGTGGAGGGAGAGAGAGTGTGGGGGAAGTTTTATTGGCTAAGTCTCATCGTTAGCCCCATTAATGCTTTTGTGATATCATATGATTGAAAATAAGTAGTAAGATGTCATCATGCTTTTACCAGGATGATAATCATCTGGATGGATTTCAAGAGGTAGAAGGTTCAGTCCCTCATCTTGGCACTTTGTATTCAATCTTATTGTTTGTTCCTCCCCCTCCTCCTGTGCAGGACCAAATCATGCCAGGTGGCACCGGTACAAAAAAGGGTATAGAAAATAGTTTACAGAAGTATATTGGGAGAAAAGAGCAAGCATTGTTTGTCATATAACTCTTCCAAATACTGCTACCATTGGATCATATTGCTTAATGTTAGTTTATGATTGTCAGGCCCAACACAATAGTTTCAGTCTAGCTGTTGTTTCTTCAATATCTGACATAGTGGTTTGTTCCATTTTGCAGGCTGTCACCAAGCTTCTGAATGATGAAACTATTTCTGATGTTGATCGTTTGCGGCTAGTAATGCTATATGCCTTGCGCTATGAGAAGGAGAGTCCGGTTCAGTTGATGCAGCTTTTTAACAAACTAGCTTCTCATTCTGCTAAGTATAAGCCTGGGGTAACTTGACCAAACAAATTTCCTGTTCTGCATTAGGCTTTAATAGTCATCTCTTTCCTACATTGTATTTTTATTCTTAATTTGTATTATTTTTAATTAAAAAATTGTATTTCTTTTGACTTTGCAGTATCGCTAAGTCCTTACAGAATGAATTGTCTTGGTTTTACTTGTAGCCTGCCAATGCCACTTCATTTTTCCTTTGTTGTCATTAATGGTTTAGAAGAAAGTTTGTGTACATTAATTAGATAGATGTTTTTCTTTCACCAAAATCAAGTTTTCGGTATTGTGTTTGATTGTCAGTGATAAATCCTTTTCACACAGATGTGGTTCTTGTATCACTGACAGATCATGCCAATTGCTTTTTGTCATTATTTTTTTAAATATCATGCAACAAAATCTTCTCAAGTAAAATATAGTTCTATTTTGAGTACTGATCAAATCTTAAGCACTTCTTTGAAACTAGTGCTCTGATCTCATCTGTATAAGTGTGATTGTTTTAGATGCTGAGTTGCATGACTGCAACTGGAAGAGGATCCTTTTGTTTTCCCTACTTAATTCTCTGCCTTTGATGGTCATGCATCCTTCTGGAATTTGAATCAGCCTGCAAGTGTTTTAGTCTCTCTATAGTTTCAACTAATATTGAGTATGGAAATACATATGCTTTTTATGCCCATCATGGACATAATTGTGATTTATTAATCTTATTTATTATCATGGCCTACAGCTTGTCCAGTTCCTCCTCAAGCAAGCAGGCATCGATAAACGAACTGGAGATCTATATGGCAATCGTGATCTCTTGAACATTGCTCGTAATATGGCTCGTGGACTTAAGGTATGCAGCAACATTATCTCTTGCCACATCTAGGACATTTTAATATGGAATTTATGTTGAGACAGGGTGTTGAGAACGTCTACACCCAACACCAACCACTTCTGTTTCAAACAATGGAAAGCATCATCAAGGGGCGACTACGAGATGTTGACTATCCATTTATTGGAAATCACTTTCAACAGGGGAGGTTTGTTATCATGGACACTTTTTTTCTTTTGAAAGATAAATAGTTCTCCAAGAACAAAGCTCTATCATGACTACTTAATATTATTTTAATCAACAAAGCTCTAGAATATTGATTAAAATGTCTTAGGCATTTGGCCATAATGGTCATTATTTTAGATATCTGGGTTATCACAATGGCATACTAAAAATTATATATATATATATATATATATATATATATATATATATATATATATATT